CCTGCTCCTTGCTGCCTCTTGCAGACCCTTCCTGCTCCTTGCTGCCCCTTCCTGCTCCTTGCAGACCTTTCCTGCTCCTTGCTGCCCCTTCCTGCTCCTTGCAGACGCTTCCTTCTAATTTCTGCTCCTTCTCCTACTTTACATTTCTGCTCCTTCTGTCCCTTCACGCTCATTGCTGACCCTTCCTGCTCATTTCTGTTCCTTCTCCTACTTTACCTTTGTGCTCCTTCTGTCCCTTCCTGCTCCTTGCTGATGCTTTCTGCACCTTCCTGCTTCTTTCTGACCCTTCCTGCTCCTTGCTGACCCTTCCTGCTCATTGCTGCTTATTTCTGTTCCTTTGTGCTCCTTCTCCTATTTTACTTTTTGTTGTGCCCTTTCCAGCTCCTTGCTGACCCTTTCTGCCCCTTTCTGTGTCTTGCTGATCCTTCCTGCTCCTTGCTGCCCCTTCCTGACCCTTCCTGCTTCTTGCTGCTTATTTCTGTTCCTTTGTGCTCCTTCTCCTACTTTACCTTTTGTGCTGCCCTTTCCAGCTCCTTGCTGACCCTTTCTGCCCCTTCCTGCTTCTTGCTGACCCTGCCTGCTCCTTGCTGCCCTTTCCAGCTCCTTGTTGACCCTTTCTGCCCCTTCCTGCTTCTTGCTGACCCTTCCTTCTCCTTGCTGACCCTTCCTGCTCCTTGCTGCCTTTTCCAGCTCCTTGCTGACCCTTTCTGCCCCTTCCTGCTTCTTTCTTACCCTTCCTGCTCCTTGCTGACCTTTCCTTCTCCTTGCTGACCCTTCCTGCTCCTTGATGTCCCTTCCTGCTCATTTCTGTTCCTTCTCATTTCTACTCCATCTCTTAATTTACCTTCCTGCTCCTTGCTGACCCTTCCTGTAGGCTGCCTCCCCCCATCCCTCACTTACCTGAGCTATAGGCTGTCTCCCCCCCATCCTTGACTTACCTGATCTGTAGGAGGATCCCCCCCATGCCTCACTTCCCTGATCTATAGGCTCTCTCTGCCCCCCTCCCCCATGCCTCACTTACCTGATCTGTTGGCTGTCTCTGGCTGCATGTGCTGTTGCTCTGCGGATTTAGTCAGGAGAGAGACGCTGGGATAATATGTGTGCTACCTGTCTCTCTCCACACACAGCGCCACCTACTGCCGTTATTGCAGTGTATTTGCAATCTCACATGAAAAATAGCAAAACAAGCTAAAAAAAACAGGGGGGGCAAGTACCGCCCCTTACCCCCCCCGCGGATGCCCATGCTGCCATTGAAGTTGGACCTCTTTCAAGTGTGTTTGTATCCTAAATTAATGCATCTATCTTGTTGAACAGGGAGTGACTTCTCATTGAATAAGGAGTTCATGCAGAGCGTGAGGATGTCCAGCGTCAGATACCCTACCAAAGGTCTGTTTCAATCTAGGGAGCCTTCTACTGGCTGTCTAGTAGACAGCCACTGTGGGCAGACTTAGAGCTTCAATGTAAATGTTTTGGATTGCAGCACTAAATGCAAATGAGACACAGCAGCCAGGCCACTTCAATGAGCTGAAGTGGCCTGGGTGCCTACAGTGTACCTTTAAACGTTACCAGCCAACACTACTTATGTCCTCAAGAATTATAATAAATAATCAGCCTAAGTATTATTAATGGATGAAACATAATTTCACATTCCCAATGGCTCAAGCCTCCCTGTATTAATTATTGCTTATAGGGAACTCAAAAGCTGATTATCACTCACTGCTCTCATGAGTAAAAAAAGACAATGTGAGGTAAGTGTGAATCTGACCTCTGTTCCCCCAGTGTTCTCCGCCTCCCACACTAAATGAAAATTTATATCTATACTATATGGTGATCAAGGATCCCACACACAGAAATAC